TGTCCACCACTGTCGATCTGACGCGCCAAAGGAGAGCTTCGGCGAGCCGGAGAGCTATTTCTTGAGCCTGAATTTTGACCACTGATTGCAGCAGGAGGGGCGAGGCCAGCATCATTCATGTTTGGCGGGAATCGTGCGTCAAAAGCGGACATCCCAGTCATCTGCATACCTATAGAAGGCGCCATTGGCATCTGGCCCATCATAGGCATGCCCATCATCGACATACGCGGGTCAAACCCCATATTCCCCGGCATTCCAGCCATGTTGGGATTGAGAGGTTGTGTTCCTGCAGCACCATCGCCACCCACTTGCGATCCAGCCACCGAAAACGCCATCATCGCCTGCTGATACGCCTGAGCGGCTTGCTGAGCAGCAAAGAAATGCTGAGGGTTAAAGCCTGGCATCATTCCGGGGTACCCCATCTGGCCCGTCATCATAGGCGCCATCCCTCCTCCCGTCATCATCGGATTCATACCGCCTCCAGTCATCATAGGGTTCATACCCATCATCGGGTTCATCATCATCATCGGATTCATTCCAAACCCAGGGAATTGTCCACCGTACATCGAACCACCTTGCTGCATCTGGTCAAGCTGTTGTCGTTGATGCTCATCAAAACGACGCTGCCTATCCTCAGCCAAGCGTTTTTCTCTTTCACGCTCCGTCAGAGCCGCACCAACACCTCCTTCCCGTTTTCTTTCTCTTTCATGTGCAGTAATCGCACCAAGAAGACCCATCTGCGGCGGAGGCGGCTTATTTGGAACATTAATAAGTGATGCACCTGATTCTCGAGCCAACTCCTCTTGTCGTTTCGCAGATCGGTCCTGTTTATCTTGTATGCCAGCCGAAAGAAGCCCTTGGGGCGTGAATGCCTTGGTCATGGACTCTGCTGGCTCCAGCTGAACGAATGTATCGTTGCGAGGCGGGTCATTTCGAGGAGGTTCAGTAGTCGCTGTGCGTCCAGGATCGAGGGCCTGACTCCACAAATTCTGACGAGCTACGCCAGGTTGAGGGAACTCGGCTTGCGTGCGAATTTGAGTGCCATCTGATAACATACGGGGCGGCGTTGCCCCGACTACCGAGTATTGATCTGCCGTGCGTCGAGGCGGGTTAAGATCTTCCTCTAGATATATACATATTAATTCATCATATACAACTGGAGGTTAGAACTGTCAAACTCACGATAACTGTTCCCCGGAACCTGAGGTAAGGATCGAAGAGGTCTCAAATGTGAATATGATTCTCCCGTCTGCTCGCCGGGCTGTTGTCGTTGTTGAAGAGAGTTGGAAGATGACGCAAAGCCAGTACTCTGTTTCTTCGTTAAAGACGGTTCTGTATCAGAATCGGCGTCATCGTCATCGTCATCTTCCTCTTCCTCCTCTTCCTCCTCTTCTTCACTGCTTTCATTCCACGAACTAGACGCCTGAGACTTTCGCTTTCCATTCACACGTCCCGGTTTGTGAGTAGCAATCTGATGGGCGGCTTGCTGAGCCTGGACCTTGGCCTTCCTTTCCGCAGCCTGTTTCGAGGGCGCAAAAGACGACTTGTACTGTGTAGCATGTTCATTAACCGTAGGCGAAGGAGTCTTTTGTATATGCAACGGCTCAACGCTGGCTTTCGGTGGCGACGAAGATTTGTCATCCACAGAGAGATACGACAAGGCCGCTAGGGCGTCGAGGTCAGCCTCTGATGAAGCGGATGGCTGAACATGCGTCAATTCCATCTTGGCCTGCGATGGAGTTTCGTGCTGTTCTTCGCTATGAACGTCTTCTTCTTCGGTAAATTGATGGGAAGAAATGCTGTCCGCCGCGTTATAAGGACGTGTCGTCGCTTGTGCACGTGCCCCTGAAGGCTTACGTCCGAGCCCCTGACGCGAGGGGCTGGAGTGATCAGCCGAGACAACAGCCGGCATGGTCGAAGCCTTGTTTGGAACGGGAGATCTCTCAATGAATGCCATCGGGGTGTTTTGGCGGACTGGTTGGTCCCTAGTCCGATTTGAAGCAACTCCAGGTGGTGTGGGGGGGTCGGACGAGGCAGACTGGGAAAGGCTCTCGTCGGATCCAGAGTCGGTCTGTTCGATGATTGTCGTTGGGACGCGTCGGTGGACTGGAAGGTCGTCAGAGTGTTGTTGCATGTAGAACAATGCCCCGGCCTCGCTCAGAAGATTGTTACTGTCCTCCGACTTGAGAGCCGGGGGGGCGTGGTCCAGAGAAATTCGTCCGTCGTGACTTTTGATGGTACCCAGAGAACTTCGATCAAGACTTTTGATAGTACCGTGCGGGGAGTATGGAGATTTCAGAGTGGGTTGAGGTACTACGATGGAATGAGGGGATGTGAGGATTGAAGCACGATCGGTCACATCCATGCTGTGTCGTGGTGATTCGTCGTCTTCGCTGAGAATGGAATGGGGAGAGGTAAGTACCGATACACTCCTTTTGGGAACTGTCACGAGAGTAGACGCGGATCCCAGTGAAGACGCAGGCGGAGATACTGGGACCGGAGGCGACGAGACAGTATACGAAGGAGGTGACTGCTGCGCAGTTGCAGACAATGCACGCGAGGCTTCTGTTCCAGGCAAGACGGCATGCGCATCAGTCTGCGACTTGCTAAGAACGGAGGTAGTCGAATCGACTCTGGAAGAACCTCTGGTGTTAGTTTGCGTATCAAGACTGCGTCGTCCCGACACCGAGCCAACAATGGAGGGAGACCGGGCCGACGATTCCACTAGCGGGGGCTCAGTAGGCTCCTGGCTGGCCTTTGTCTGCCCAAGATAGCTGCTTTGTGTCGACGGCACCTGTGGCGCAGCGTACGTGTCAGGCTCGGATTGCCTTCTGACGGGCGACAATGGTTTTTCTTCTTCAGGCGGGGTGGTGCCGCTGAAACTCAGCGGAGGCAGCTGGAAGTTGGCGCCATCGGACTGCGGCTTGTCCACGGCGGGATTGCCGATGGGCGGCAGCGTGGGCGGTTTGTCGGCCGCGATCCGGGGAGCGGGGATGGCCTCATGTCCGCGCATCCGATCGAGAAGAATGCCGATCAAACGCGACCGGATGGAAGAGGTCGATTCGTCACGGGGATCGAGTGTTTCGGCCAGTTCGCGCGCAAGGAACAGGAGCTGGAGATTTGCAGTCAGCAAGTGAAGGCCCATCACAGGAAAACATACGTCTTTGCTCGGTCCTACAGGGTAGGCAAACATAAGAGACGCAGGATCCCGAGGGTCCCATGTCCAGCAGTCAGGGCGTCCGTACATCTCAAATGCATCGTGTATTGCTGCCAAGGGATGGCGTTGAAACGTGATCCATTCCAAATGTCACAATATACTGACCGATTATCCACTTCAACATTTCCTCTGGCTGCCCGACACCAGCCTCAGAATCGGGCATAACCAGCACCCAGCCCTCGCAGTCCTTCATCCCTGCAGCCAGTTCTTCATCCCCAAATGTTCCTTCAACCTTGATCAACGTACTCCGGCTGATGAGCTCAGGCCGCTCAGGATACACTGCAAACGCTTGCGTGATGTTTTTGAATGTCAATAAAGCCTTTTTCTTATCCTTCGGCCTTGTCGACGCGTACATCGAGACGATGGGTTTCATAGGTAATGCAGGAGCATTGTCGCGCGCAAACAAGTTAGAAATTCGTTTCTTCCTTGGAAGGGATGCGTTCGGAGTGGGAACGCCTCCGATGCCTCCTTCGTTGGGTCCTGGACGGTCTGCATGGCTGCTCTCGGCCCCAGCGCTAATGACCATCCACATGCGCTTCCAATCAGTCTGGCCTGCGATACGTATACGGACCCAGCCTTCCAGCCGTCCACGTAAGAGTGTCGAAGGCGCATTAGGATCTAAGAAAAAAAAACCATGAACAAACGAAGGCAAGGTGGGGATGCTCCTCACTCTTCAACGTTATCCGGAGCAGATGCGCTGTATAGATCTCTTCAAGACGGGACTTTTCCCAAGAAGAGAGCCGCAAAGCAGATACCCACGATTTCAGCGTGAACGGATCAGGGCACGAAAACAACAGGATGTTGGATCCCCCAGTCGTAAGCGCAAAAACATTCGAGTACTTTTGGTTCTCTGGAGTCGTGACGGCACCAATGAGCTGGATGAACTACGTGTGTAAGAGGGAATTCAGTCCACGGCCATCAGGAACTCCGTAGTACTTACCGCATCGGTCGTATTTACGTATAAAGGAGGGACTTCTTTTCCCTGTCTACTAGCCTCCTGGACTTGGGCCATGTCCCAGATGCTGAGCGTCGTCCCGCCCAATTGGGCCCAAACCCCGAACCAGACCTCTCCATGCGGCTGCTTTTCCGTGGGCCGACGTTCGATTCGGCGAACAAGCGGTCCAGAGAAATAGATCTTGTGTGCATGAGCGCTGGTTAGCTGGACCACTGACCGGATTTCGGGGTGAAGTGGCTGGGGGGCGGCCGGAGGTTGGGGCTGGGGTTGGGGCGGAGGCGGGGGCTGTTGAGGCGGCGATTGGGGCTGATTAGTCCTCTTTACCGATGGAGTGCGCGCAGGAGAGGCCTGCGGTGCCGATGGGTTCATGGCTGGTTGTTGTTGTGTCGAGGCTGCTGGCGCCACGACGTGGGCAGCTGGTGCGGTTCCATTGCTGGCCCCCATGGAATTCGTCCGCAGATGACCCCTGTTGCGAAATGAAAAGAAGGACGAAGTCCGCGAGTGACCGTGGTCCTGTAGTGGTGGTCTTGCTTGTGGAGTGGATGTGTTGTTTATTAGCATTGTAAACTCAGTCGAACTAGGCGTTGCTGCAACCTGGCCTGCAGACCGGCACTGTTCTGCTGGTCGTTCGTGATGGGCAGAAGATGGCTTTGTGCCGGGCCAGCCTGCTCCCGATTCCTGTGCTGATGATGGGAAGACTCCGTTCATGGCCTCTTACGGCAAGTTTTTACTCGATACAAACGATCTACTAAGGCTTCTGAAAGCCGCTGGACGTGGCACTGCTCTGGACTGCGAGAATAGAATACTATACCATGTTACCTTACACATAGCAGCATGGCGCAGCTGGAAGCGCGCGGGGCCCATACTTTCGGTGTAACCCCGAGGTCACTTGATCGAAACAAGTTGCTGCTATATTTTTTGGCACCATCTGCGCTCTCCTAAAAATGTACTAATGATTTATTCCTCGTCTACTGACCCTACTCGTGCCTGGAGAACAGACAGGCATCACTGTCGGAGATGAGGCCAATAATTGCAAATGACGAACCTTGTTCTCGTCCAGGCCCCCGAGCTCAGTCACGAGCCCGCCATATGGGTACTGGCGACGGAGCGCAGGCGGGTCTTGCAGCAGGCCGTATCTGACCAGGCAGCCAAAGCCCACGAAGGCAGAGACGGCGATGAGGAAGTGTGTGGCGGCGGTCGAGGGGGCGACGGGGGGGATATCGGGTCCCCACATGGACAGGACTTCCTCCTCTTCATGCAGCTGTATTTGGGACAATGAGTGTGTGAAGCTGGTGCTGGGGAGAAGGCAAGCGTACTGCATCGCCAAAGTTGCGGCGCATGAGGGGGTCCTGCCAGCCATACGGCGTCAGACGCTGTCTGGAGACAAAGGGGAGCTGGGGATAGCCGTCGAGCTGGGGGTCCGGCTCGTGCTTGGCGGCGGTGGAGGCGCAGCGAGAAAGCAGGCGGGGGCGCGCGGCTGCACGGCGGAGGGCGAGAGCGAGCGACATGCGAGGCCGGGAGTCGGAATCGGAATCGGAGGACAGCGGCGAACGCGGGCACGTGGCTGATCAAATTCGCACGCGACCCTCAATTCGCGGCCATCATGAGAGATTGTGCGGACGGGCCCACAGCGAGCCATGTTCACCAACGACGTCCAGCACATCCTCCTCCAGTCCCGCTCCTTCCGCCGCCGCCCAGGCGACGTTCCCTATCCTGTCCAGCACATCGGTGCCGCCTGCTCTGCCTTGTATGTCGCGTCCCTCTCGTCCTTCTTCCCTCATCTCGTCTCGTCCTAGTGATGCCTGGAACTCCATGGTTCGCACACGCGGCCACAGTCTGACCCTCCACAAGTTCGAGGCCCCGCCCCCCGTCGTCCTCGATCTCGGCTGCGGCAATGGCTACTGGGCCATCGAAGCCGCAAAAGCCTGGCCGGTGACTATCCACGTCCGTCCTTGCCTTCCGTCACTCACCTGTCCATCACAGAACAGCGTCGTGGTCGGGTTCGATGTCAAAGACATCCAGCCCAAGCTGCTCCATACTCTCGCGTGGAAACACCATTTTGACATTGCTCACCGCGTCAAATGGGTCCACGGCAATTTGTTCGTTCCTTCCCAGTCTCACGCTTCTGTGCTGCTTGACCGTCCTTGTGCAGATTAGATGGCTTGCCTTTTCCTTCCAGCTATTTCGACTTTGTTCGAGTCGTCAACATTGGTCTCGGTGTGCCCGAGGATGAGGTGCTTATGTCCATTTTTTCCCTCTTTCTCCATGCTCATCACCACCACTCAAGTGGCAATATGTCTTTGAGGCACGCATAAAAATTTCCTTCCTTTGTTTTTTGGCAGCTAATGCCATCATAGGAAGCTGCTCGCGTCCTGAGACCCGGTGGTGTCATAGAGGTATATACAATCAGTGTGTGACCTGTCAAAGCTGATCTGTCGGTTCAAGGTGATAGAGGAAGATCCGATCTTTCCCTGTGAGGTTCGACGGCCTCTATGGGGACCTAGCCATGGAAATTCTTCAATGACGCTCGTCAACCGCTCACCTTCTATCGTCATTCCTTCAAGTCTCCCCCTCGCACACGGCTCGCCGGCAATCTCTTGTGTAACACTCCATGAACGGTGTGAGCCCACTTCGCCAACATCCCCGAACAACTTGTCTTCGCCCACCATCCCACTCCCTCCTCATCCACGCAAATCCTCTGCCCCAACGTCTCATCCATACCTGCTTTCTCCCCATGATACTCCATACAGACCCTCCACCCCACAAACAGAAACGGACCGAACCTCCGATCTACAGGATCACTCGCGGCTCAAAGCCGCATGGGACGCAATGCTCGCCTCTCGATTCATTGCGGAGAGTACCCTCTCCGTGCTTCCCTTCTACTTGTCGTCCACTTTCCCTGATGTCCAGAGTATCGCCCCTGTCAAAGTCCTCCTTCCCCCAAACTCCAAAACAAAGCAATCACGTTCTTCCTCAGAACCACCCTTAAAGTCCGCGAAACCGCAGAGTCCACCATCCCTAGTCAGGACCTCTAGCGAATCCACATGTTCCTCAGGATGGGATACTTCCACTTTGACCCCTCTGTCAAGAACTTCATCCAGCGACTCCATAAATTCATATACCACCGAATTCGCTCAAATGCACCTCGCAAGCACGGTACATACTGTAGCAGGCTGCAAAGAAGCTATCTGGCAGGAGTACAAGAAGCTCTATGACGTCAACGTCGCCAAAATCGTGACCCCAGATGCAGACGCGCTCTCCGGCCACACCGCCAGCTCCGGTCCCGGGAACGACAAATCGTCAATTCGGGAGTCGTTCGATGATGAATGGGCCGCTTGGTACAAGTGAGTTTTCTTGCTTGCTAGTCGGGGGGTCATCGCGTTCTCATGTATACCTTACCTTAGTGATATGACGGACCGCATTGGGATGCGCACGCTTATGGCTCAGCTGAACTGGGCTGAGCCCCCGGGTCAACGACCTGATTGGCATCTTTGGCGTGCAAAGGTGCAGCAGAGTAACGAAAATAAGGGTTCTTCTGATAGTCTTGAATATGCGAGGAACCCGCCTGCCCTCTGTCGCTCGATGCGTGGCTTCATCGGCTGTAAACCACGGCTGGCTTGATCGTCTCCTTCTCTCATTTAGGCATCTTCATTCATTTAAAGGCTGGGTCTTCAAAATTTGGTATTTTTTATCACACGTTTTCATTATTTTTTTTCTTGTTATGGGATCTATTATCGCATTTGCACTGCATAGTCTATTTCAAATATATCACACACCTATAGTCTCTTACTAACTTGTATGTTATAACATTGGAAGACTATCCTCCATTGTAAATACAATAATACCCTAGTCGCTAGTCGCTTCCATATTCCAGGCGCTAACAATTACAATTACAAAAAAATATATTCATTCAGTAAAATCAACTTGATAGCAGAGTTAATTCTTCCCCTTCATCTCGATATCCTGGGATACCTTGCTGTTTCTCCCTCCAAATCCAGACGGAACCCACCGCCACGGGGTAGGTCTATGACGATCGACTGGCTTATCGTACTGTGTACCTGCAAAACCCTGCGCATTCTTCGTGAGCGACGCCACATCGTCGTCCTCTTCGATCAGCTCTCCCGCTTTGCCTGATGAAAGCGGTTCAACATTTAGAGGCAGGACGATCACTGCTGCGGGTGGCGCGTTGATTGGGTTGATCACACATGGAATCGGGGGCGCCTTTGAGAGTTTACGGCGCGGCTCCTGTGGGCGAGGACGACAGCGAGGGCGATGGCGATGGCGCCTGCAGCTCTGAAGGGACAGACCGCATAAGAACGGGACTAGGAGAGCTCCGAGCACAACGGAGAAGATGCACCCGGTGACGATGAGGAAGATCTGGTCGCCGCTGAGGCCTTTGGGATCATAGAGAAGGACGGCGCTGCCTATTGTGGTGTTGAGGCAGTGCAGGAGTTTGACGTCCGTGTCGCTTGGGAGGAGGACGTTGTATGAACTTGGGGAGTCTGTGGGGAGGAGGACGGCGGTGTTGTTGTAGTCGTCGAGGGTGAGCGCGACACTGGATGCACGGTAGTACTGCAGGGTCTGCTCGGGAAGGGGAGAGGCGGAGTATTCGAGGTAGGGGGAGGGGTTTGGAGATGTGAGGTTGATGAAGGATGAGCAGACGGATAGGGAGGAGATGAGGGCTTCGGCAGATGCAAGGTCGGTGAGGACGCGAAAGGTGGAATTGGGAGATGTGCTTGAGACGTAGGTCAGGGTGGCGAGCGGGCCACCTGGACGGGTGGTGTTATCTGGGAGCCCGTACTGAGAAAAAAAAATAGGTCAGTATCGTTTCCTAGGGGCTTGGTAGTGCAGAAAAAATACCTCAGTCGGATGCAGATAGGCAGCAGCACCGTCGATAGGGAATGGGTTCGCCCATACTACGGGCCAAAAATAAAATGGGAATCCGCGATTACTGGTTCCCCGCACGGTGTCACCACCAGGATACCCACTCCCATAATCACTCTAGAGATCTCAGCAACATGCGGTTGTGGGGTGCCCAGGCTTACCGAGTTCCATATATTTGCTTGCGTGTTCCACCACCCTGCGTGCGACCTGCAAAGACTTGGTCTTTCTTAATGACATAAGGCCTGCCGCCACCCTTGGCGAAGGGCTTGGTGTCAATTTCCTTACCACCTGCGAGGATTTTGATAGGTGGATTGGAGCCGCGGCGCTCGAGATGCGGAGTATTCATGAAGGGTGGTCAAGACAGACAGTAAAACTTCAGCTCAAAGGGTATTGTAGAAACAGTCTCAGGGGGTTATAAGACTGGATCCGAGACGCGTTAATTCATGACGAATTTGGGATTTCAGACATTGGCACCGAGACAGGAGGCAGCAAAATTGGCACGTTCATTAGGAGGCGATGGGCTCGATAGACCTTGATAGAACGAAAACACAACTGATCCATAGGCAGTTCGAGCAGTGCAGCTAACATAGTGAACGGATAAAAAGCTAAAGTCAATAATAAGTGCAGCGGTCGCAGTTGGCACACGATCAGATATGATTAGATAACATAGACCTCGGAACCGGTCGAAAACAAGCTCTTCTCCTCTATACACCATGTCTGACAACGAGCAACCGCCTTCCCCCGCCGTCGTCGAGGAAAAGAAGCCCGCCTCTACTGCAGAGGCAGATCTCACAAAGTACAAGGTGATTCAGCTCACACTTTGCTGTGAAAAAAATTCATCTACCATTAGACTGCTGCCGACATCATTCATGGGGTCACCAAAAAACTGATTGAACTCGCCGTCGAGGGAGCCAAGATCATCGACCTCTGCATTGAGGGTGACAAACTCATCGAGGCAGGCACAGCTAGTGTCTACAACAAACCCGTAAAGGGCGTCAAAGTCGCCAAGGGTGCGCTTCCTTAGGCGC